GCTGCTAGCCATTGCAAGAAGGGCAGTTAGGGCCTATGTGGCCAGCCGCTGGTGCCTATTCTCAGTGTGGGATAACCCCCTGAATTGGGGACTTGCTAACTAGAGTTGCTATAAGTAGATAACAACAACCATTCTTAGTGCATATGCTGGCATATCCGGGGTGTTTTGCGTGTGTAAATGCATCATAGCCATAGTTACCTGGCATGGGGTGACAGTGAATACCTCCATTTGAATTGTGGGTCTGAGTATTGAAAAAATAGTCCTTGGTAATTTAACATAGCTGTTGAAAATTGCCATTTAGAGTTGATTTACAGTACCTTTTAAAAATGGTGATGTTCTAATATAGTTTTGTTGGTTTATTAGAGGGTAGTCTTGTCTATGTATATATCTACAGGGTAGTCTTGTCTTTGTGTGGTAGATATATCCAACCAGTAGACAGGGCTCATAAACCAAGAAGTAAAACGTTTTCGGGGAAATACCTTGTAATTAGTTTTGGCAACTTGATTTACCAGATTTTACATGCTTTTACCAGCTCAAAATTGGTATGTGATTAGTGAATTCCCTTCCCCTTAATACTAAACACCGCCAGTGTATGTTCCCAAACAGATGTAAATTCCCTATTAAAACATGGTTTCTGGGGGGGAGGGATTAGTTGAATTATTCGTTGGGGGCGCTCTTGATTGCGCTGAACACAGCTAGTTGTTCAACTATATTCACGTGAATTTCACTTGGATGTTGGGGTTTGTTTGCTTTGTGGGTATTCGGGTTCGTAGGCTTCATCTTGTTCATGCACAGCCCGTTTGTACCCAAAGACTGCAGTGTTGTCGTGGTCCTCAGTCGAGAGTGTCTGCGATCATTGGAGTGGAACAACACGGAGGCAACAATACGGAGGCCAAGACGGAGACGGGGGCCAACACGGCCAACACCTGGGGCCAACACGGAGTGGAGGTGGACCCCCCGTACTCGGCGCCATACAGACATGCCTTGGAATACATCACTGTTTTGAGCGACAACGCGTTGCATGTGACCAGGCTTCTGGGCCGAGTTTTGCCTCAATGGTTGCATGTGCTACAGCGTTCATTGGAGTCACCCTCTATACCCCCGAAAGGTTTCCAAGGCTCTCCCCAAAGATGGTGATCGATTCACGGCTTTTCCCAACCCTGGATGTGCTGTCGTCCGGCCACAGGCGTCTTCACTGCTTCACGCTTGTAGGGGCGCATGGTCCTTGCTTGCAACTTGACTAGCGGTGAGACAGAAATCATCTGCAGGTATGGTGCGGCTGGTATGGTTGGATATAATGTCAGGTTGGATATAATGTCAACCCCGGATTAATAAACCATGCTTTATTTTCATTAGGGGGGTACTCCCCAAATGGTCATTTCATCTGATACTTATATAAATGGTATCCCCCCAATTAATTAAACAACCGTAAACGGAGTTTATTAATCCAGGGTTGACATTCGACTGAAGGTGATGGCTGTTATTCCCATTGATTCCTCTTTGTTCATCCACTATTTGAGGACTCTGATGTGGTAAATCATGGCAAACCCTGGCGAAGCCAATGCCGTGAACCGTCCCATCAACCAACGAGTTGTATGCCCAAGGCCGTAACCCCAAATTGGGGGATGTTTATCATTGGCATAACACCACACTACCAGTAATCTGTCGTATTTTTTTATGGCTCCCTAAAACCGTCTAACATCCAAAGTTAAGCTGATCCAGCATCGAAAGAGTAGGTTCCTGATAGAGGAGCATTTGGACAATCCTCATTGGGGTTTTAAGCCATGTTCAAATTGATCTGATCATGATCCTACTTGAATTACTTGACTTTTGAGTATTTTTTACTTTGAGACATCATGTGAAACCCCTTTGATTTCAGTGGTTCACCCATGAAATCCGCACCATCGCCCCAGGTATCTGGCCCAAGATATGTCAGCTTTGGGTCATCCAGTCCTTGGTATCCTCACAACCCAAGAAGGCGGGAAAATCGCCAGACTGTTGTACTCACGTATATATATATATATATGTATATGTATATGTATATGTATATATATATATACATACACAGTATTTATCACGAAAGGTAGCCTCCTAGCGGGCTACCTTGAGTTTTACTTTGCGAAGCAAAGGGGCGGGCTGGACCCCTTATCCCTGAACGACCAGGAGAAAGGGACCCCCCCCACCCCCCCCCTCAAAGGGAACTCTCGCCACATGCCTTGTGCGTCTCTTCACGCAGCAGCCCCTTCGCAGTGTCTCATCATCAGCATCATCGTCATCATCCTCATCATCATCATCATCATCATCCTCCTCCTCATCACCATCATCATTCGACTTGCAATTCGGATTTTTCGATTTTCCAAGTACCCAACGGTGCGATGAAAGTGACAGGTTCGAGCATCCATAGGCACCGCAAAAAGAAACATTGGAGTTTGTGCTAACACTGATCGTGTTTTTTTTTCCCCCCGCACGATGCGTCTGACAATGTATACCTCCAAATGGCTATTTAAATGGACTAAGTGATGAGCAACCATGGACATCGTGGGGTGCTCTCTTTTCGGATCCAGATATCTCCGCTCTGCTCTGAATGTCCAGTTCCATGCCCCCCCCCAAGTGAACTTCAAGTGAACTCTCGTCACATGCCTTGTGCGTCTCTTCACGCAGCAGCCCCTTCGCAGTGTCTCATCATCAGCATCATCGTCATCATCCTCATCATCATCATCATCATCATCCTCCTCCTCATCACCATCATCATTCGACTTGCAATTCGGATTTTTCGATTTTCCAAGTACCCAACGGTGCGATGAAAGTGACAGGTTCGAGCATCCATAGGCACCGCAAAAAGAAACATTGGAGTTTGTGCTAACACTGATCGTGTTTTTTTTTCCCCCCGCACGATGCGTCTGACAATGTATACCTCCAAATGGCTATTTAAATGGACTAAGTGATGAGCAACCATGGACATCGTGGGGTGCTCTCTTTTCGGATCCAGATATCTCCGCTCTGCTCTGAATGTCCAGTTCCATGCCCCCCCCCAAGTGAACTTCAAGTGAACTCTCGTCACATGCATTGTGCGTCTCTTCACGCAGCAGCCCCTTCGCAGTGTCTCATCATCAGCATCATCGTCATCATCCTCATCCTCATCATCATCATCATCATCATATCATATCATCATCATCATTCGACTTGCAATTGGGATTTTTCGACATCCATTTGCCACGTCACTTTAACTTTTGCAAGCAAACGGGTGAAGCAAAGGAACGTCGGCGCTTCTCCATGCTTCAGTTGGACAGAAATTTTCCCTTCGTTCTGTCAAAGCGGTGATTTGCTAGGTCGCATGTCGGCTTTCCCACTGAGTGATCCCCCGCGTCCCCTGTAACACAACTACCTTTCGTGTCACCCCTTCTCAAGTCTAGTTAAGTAACGAAATTGATTGGAAATGTTTGATCCCCCGAGTACAACTGGGTTGCACTGAATGGAGCCCTAGCCCTGATCTCTGAAAAAAGTTGGGATAGATAGAATAGAACCCCGGAAAGCATGAGGTGGTGCACCCAAACATTATGTTTGTCTGTCTAAAAACCCTAGCAACTATAGATATATCTACCATAATTAACACTACTCAAGCCTAGTTATTGGTTTGGCTATCGAACTGGGGCACCACCTTGCATGGATGGGGGTCCAGAGCCGAGAACGCGGGTTGTATCCCGGCTTCGTTAAAAAGAAAAAACGACGTCAAGGAAGCAAACAAAATCATCACAACAAGTTTGGTGTTATTTGGTCAAGAAAACAACAGGTTGGTACTTTGATTTCAAGTCTTGCAGATTCTTACTTATCCAGGTTGTTTTTGTTATTTCAACCATGCAAAAAAAATGTGGTTGAAGGGGGGTTTTGTTTGGGAATTGTTTGCCCCTCTAATGGTCAATTATCGTTCTCCCTGTTAAGATAACCAGTTTGTGGTTAAACCACAATTTTAGAACAAACCCAAATGTATCATGTTGTTGATTTAAAAAAGATGATTAATATTGATTAATGTTGGTTTTATATATATATATATGTGTGTATATATATATGTGTATATATATATACATATATATATATAGATATAGACATGATATAGATATATGCCATAGAATATCCAATAACATGCCCCCATGATATCACCATTTATTGATGAATTCCTCCATTTTCAGGCACACCCACATGGCTGGGCCCTTTTTAGCTAAGTTTGTGAAAAATTTGACCAATTTCACTAAGATTGCTGCTCCATGAGAGGCAAGCACCCCCCCGGCCTGACATACTTGAACGCTCGCGACACGGGGCGGGCAACTGCGCCACCGTGCACCGAAAGGACGGCCATGGTGGCAGGTTCGGCTGGGGCCGGCGCTGACGCACGGTTCATGCCGACAGTTGTCGTCGATTTCCAGGCCAGTGGTGCGTTGAGGCCTGATGAACTCATTGGGGTGTTCGACGTGAGGAAGCAGGCCGACGTGGACTTGGCGCTGGGGCTACTTGGGGTTTTCCATAGAGAGTATCATGACGACGCTGGTGCCGTCAACTACCAGTTCCTGACGAGTGCGCCGAACTCCATCACCAATGCAGACATCAGGACGGTGTTCATTGATGATATATGCCATAGAATATCCAATAACATGTCCCCATGATATCACCATTTATTGATGAATTCCTCCATTTTCAGACACACCCACATGGCTGGGCCCTTTTTAGCTAAGTTTGTGAAAAATCTGACCAATTTCACTAAGGTTGACTCGGGGGTAGAACACAATATAGCTAGAGTTATTAGATGTTATGAACAGGTCTAAACCAATAAGTGGGGGAGCCCATTTTGCAAAAACTTGTCATTCCATAGTGGAAAATCCTATCCCGTTCATAAATCTATCCCCATGATTCATTGGTCCCAGTCGTGTGTTTTTCACTATAATTATAGTAACTAGAAGTATACCAACCATAGTAACGAGGGATCTCTCTACACAAACTACAGTACAGTAACTATAGTCTACAGTATTCAGTTTTAGATTACAACTATAGTATCTATCGAAAATTATAGATATATAACTATTGATCTATTACAACCACAGCAACTATTACTACCGTAACTACGTATAGTAGCTATAGCAACGGGTTTTACTACAATATACAACTATAGTAAGTATATATGATTGAAGATTACAAGTATAGTAACTATAGATCACTATATTACACTATTATAGATCACTATCGATCTATTCTAGCTGTAATAGTAACTATATATGATCTAGTGACATCTAGTGACTATATAACTATAACAATGATAGTAACCTATGTATATATATTTTTAGTAACTATAGGTTCCTATCATTGTTATAGTTATATAGTACTATCTATATGTCATATATATATATATTAATAATGTCCCAGTCATATATAGGAACTATCTATTCTTGGCTCAGGTCTGGCCCTGGAGGAACCTCCGCCGTTGGCCTTGGGCCTGAAGGTGACCCTGGAAGGTGCGCAACGATGGGATTTTTCACAAAAGGATAGGGACATCTAGAGGGGTTGAACCTGAGATATGACCTGAGAGTTAGATTTACCCTCTGGTAAACTAACATAACTATGGAAAATCATGGGAAATCACCATGCTATTAATGGGTAAATCCATTATTTGTTTACCAGAGGGTAGTTTGGTAACACATTCCTTGGACATCTTAGACTTATCCAGACATTAATTGATTTGGAATTTAAGAACTAAGAAACTACAAGGTGGAGCTCCAGATTTGAAAGCTAAATTGGTTGGGTTCTAAGTAGGTGAACTAGGATTTTTTTGGTAGATATGATATGATATGATATGGTATGATATGGTATACCATATCGAACTATATAATGGTGGTTTATAAACCAAAAAGACAAGATAACTGGAGTGGGCACCACCTTGTAATTCGATGAGCATCTCCGTAAGTGAGTGATTAATAGTAACATGTGGTAATCAGACTATCCCCCGGTCATATGTGGGATATACCCTATAGTAGTTATGAACCACTTACTAATTTGGATGTATCCCTAGGGTTGACCAAGTCAAAGGACTCCCCAATGATGGGTGACCATACCCCACGGCCCCTGTGTTTTGGCCATATCTCTCTGAAGAGGGCATGATATGCCGATTTTTTGAAGTCGTTTTTTTTCATGACAAGTAAACTGGCATCGGCTCAATTTTGATGAAATCCCATCTGAAAAATCCGATTTCCGCTTGCCATGCATGAATTTGCTTGAAATCCGCCATGAAAAATGCCTGGTGTCTTTTCATCCAGGGAATTTTGAACCAGCAACTGATGGGAAGTGGGTGGATGATCCCATGACAGGAGATAGCACAGATCGAAAAGTGGGAAACCTGGAAATATGCAGGAAATTTGTATTTACCCATTATATTCCTATTGATTATCCCATTGTATTCAATATATTCCCATGAAATATTATTACCCTCTGCTAAACAAACAAAAAGCTATTGAAGCCATGGCCCAGTCGAAATAGTGGATTTACCCATTAATAGCATGGTGATTTTCCACAGTTACGTTAGTTTACCAGAGGGTAATGTATGTGGCATCCTTTTTTCTGGGCGGCAATTTGTGTTGAGGTGTCGTTTTCCTTTTTTGGTCAAAACCCTACATTTGGATACACTTGGATACATTTGGTCACTTGAATACCATTTGGGTGTCTGAAATTTGGGTACCCTTTCCAAACCCAATTATGTAATAAGCACATTTAAGCCGTGACCAGCCTGTTTCCACAGTGGCATTCCAACACATTCTGTTGGGTTGAATTTCAGATGAAATCCCTTACTGGGTGCGGAAGTTTACCGGTTGGAAATGGAGCCATACATTGGGATTATCACACTTATGGCCCCAAGAAAAAGTTGTAAATGGGATGAAATAACTCCTATCACTAGCTGGTTATATAATTATATATATATCATGAAATAAGCCAGTTATAACCGGCTATAGAGCTATAGCTGTAATAAATCCCTAGATATTACCCAATCATTCGTTTTTTCTTCCCCTGGAGGTCTGTCCGGCGATATCATCAACAGCGTCGCCGCAGCCAGGGACTGGACTGTGCTTCGGCCGATTACCGGTGCTTCGGCCGTGGCTTTGACAATGGGAGATCAATCTGATGCATTTTTTCACAGGGAAAATTATGAAATTGTTATATAGATATATAGATAAATGGTGTATACACACCCTTTCAATAATTGACATGATACCATTCCAAGGAATTTTGCGCAATTATTCTCAGACAAAGCCTTGCTGCTTCCCTGAGATGCACAGACTTGTGCACCTTGTTGTAGTGGACCTTTTGAGAAATATTGCTGAAAAATCATACCCCTCAAAGGGTGCTCCCCATTACTAAGTGGTTCATACACTATAACTGGCGTATATCCCATATAGAACTTAGAACTGCCACTTGGTTGCTGGGATCCAAGCACATCGCGGCCAAGATTTGCTCAGATGATTCAAATAGACATTTCTTTGCCGAGTGGCCAAAGTCGAAGCCTGCAAGTTCCAGAGTCCTCCAAAGTAGGGGACTTGAGGATTATTGCCCAAAAGTCTTTCCAGCAAGGATTCCTCAGGCTTGTCACTCCAAAAGGCCGTGTGCTACTAGATCCTGAGGAATCTCTGCAAACAGTCGGCTTAAAGCAGGGTGACTACCTCACTGCGCTCGTGCTTCAAATAGAAATCGCCTCAACTAGCCGTGCTTTCGCGTTGTATGCCTCTGGCAGTGGTCGGATTAACACCTGGGGTCCTCATCAGGTTGGTGGTGACTGCTTTGAAGTCCAAGATCAACTTCGCAACATACGACAGGTGCAGAACACGCTTGAGGCATTTGCAGCAATTCTGGCAGACGGATCGGTTGTTGCATGGGGAAACCCTAATTGTGGTGGTGACTGCTCCGCGGTCCAACATCGGCTGAAAAATGTGAAGCACATTCACGCCACGAAGACTGCTTTTGCTGCGATCCTTGCAAATGGATCGGTGGTGACATGGGGCGACCCCAATACTGGCGGTGACAGCTCTGAGGTCCAAGATCACTTCAGAAATGCGCAACAAATTCAGGCCACATTTACTTCATTTGCTGCGATCCAGGCTGATGGAACGATTGTTGCCTGGGGCATGCCTCGCAATGGTGGTGACTGCTCCACAGTAGACGATCAACTGAAGAATGTCGAAGAACTTCAAGCCACCTTGGGTGCATTTGCTGCGATCCGTGCAGATAGATCCATTGTCACATGGGGCAACCCTGATATTGGTGGTGACACCTCTGCTGTCCAAGATCAACTGAAGAATGTGAAGCAAATTCAGGCCACAGAGACTGCCTTTGCTGCAATCCTTTCAGATGGATCGGCTATTACATGGGGCCATCCTGATTTTGGCGGTGACAGCTCTGCAGTCAAAGATCAACTGAAAAATGTGAAGCAAATTCAGGCCACAGACATGGCATGTGCGGCAATCCTTGCCGATGGATCAGTTATTACTTGGGGCCACCCTGATTCTGGCGGTGACAGCTCTGCAGTCAAAGATCAACTAAAAAATGTGAAGCACATTCAGGCCTCAGAGAAGGCATTTGCTGCGATCCGTCCAGATGGATCGATTGTTACATGGGGTCACTCTGAGTATGGTGGCAACAGCTCCGCAGTCCAAGATCAGCTGACAAATGTGCGAGAAATTCAGGCGACAGAGAGGGCATTTGCTGCTATTCTGGCTGATGGATCTGTGGTTGCATGGGGAAATCCCAATGCCGGCAGTTATATCGGGCCAGTTATATCTGAGAAGCTCAAGAACGTGCAGCGACTGGCAGCTTCCCATGGAGCCTTTGCTGCCATTCTGTCAGATGGATCCGTGGTTTCATGGGGCCTCCATCGCTATGGTGGAGACAATTCTGCAGTTCAAGATCAGCTGGTTTATCTTTGAGCTTTGTGACCACTTCTGAACTTCGAGTCTTCACTGGTAGTCAATGGATGATGTAGCACAAGCTGCAATGTGGACACCATGCCCACGCGTTGCCCTGTCTATTTGGGCCGTGAAAACGGTGCCACCTCAAATGAATTGCTCTACATGTATATACATAAGCTATATACATATGTACATACCTATATATATATATACAGTATACATATAACTATACGTCACAGTCATTGACTTAATAGGTGATAAACTGACAATGAAAATGGTGATATGATGAATGTCAACGATATATGGGGAGGAGTCAAAACCTATTATTACCATATTTGGGAGAATAGGCATCCATCAACCAGCTATTTTTGTGTACCGTTTGGGTACCAGGGTTTTGACCCATAGTCACTGGCCCGAGAAACCTTCCAGAGAGGTGTGACTGTTTCGACCAATTCTCGTACCCCGTGTGTTGCCATGGACGTTCATCAGCTTGAACCTATCCTGCACCATGATGCTAGGGTGACATTGCTTTGTGAGGTGATCATCAGAGACGGGACTCATCAAAAACATTGTTTGAAAACCGCCTTGAAGGGAAATTTTGTGAGATTTGAAGGAGTTCTTCCTGATCAAACCACTGTTGTGCTTTTAGTGGATGCCCTTGTTAGACAGTCTGACAACGGATACCTTTTGGTTGCGACAGAGTTTTCGAAAATTTATCCCAGACCTTACATCAACCTTCAGGACATGCAGAAAGTTGTTGAAGTTTGCTCAGGTGCCGGCTTTCTAGGGGTAGGACTTGAGCATTGCGGTTTTCAGGTGACTCTGAGGTGCGATCATTCCCAACCGATGCTGGACCTTGCCAGCCATTTGCATCCGTCTCCAGTAGCTTGTGGCGACATCTGTACAGATTCGCTGTTGCATCCGATCTGCCAAGCATCCGAGCCAGCAGGTGCAAGCTAGGAGACAAACAACACCAGCGTGACAGCCGCTCCATGACTCTCCCAAGTGTGCTGCGATATGCCTTTCTTTGCCGTTTTGGTAGTGTGATTTTGGAATGCGTCGCCGACGCACAAACGTGCCCTTGGGTGCAATCGGTCATCCGGACCTTCACTGAAATCACAGGGTACAAAGTGACTCAAGGCACATTGCACCTTCATACCATTTGGCCTACACGTAGGAGTAGATGGTGGTGTATCCTAACACATGCTTCCTTTGGTATTGTTCAATGGCAACCCATGCCTTTTTCCACGGCCATGCCATTGATTGTTGACTTGGTGGACCATTTCAAAACATGTACCAAAGAAGAATTGGAACAGCTTGCCCTGGATTTGTATGAGCTTGGCCGATTCGGGGCCCAAGGTTTTGAAAAGAATGAAATACCCTGGAGGGGCCAAATGGCCACCTCATTGCATAGTTGCGGAAGCCAGCTCAGTGCCTGCCCGTGCCTTTGCAGGTTGTTTCCGTTCAGTGATGACAGGCTGGCTCAGAAGGGTTTGCATGGCCTCTTGGTGAGACTCAATGAGGTGATCAAATGTGGGTATAAGGAATATCAATGCTACAGACATGTGCACCCTGCCGAACTTGCCCTTTTCAATGGTATGTTGCCAAACATGGATTGGGGGAAAAACCACAAACTGGCGTTGTGCGCTTTGGGACAATTGGCCTCTCCCATTCAGTCAACATGGATTGGTTCACTCCTCATGCAATCCCTGCAAACCATGCAAGGTATTTCAACAGTGATTGAACCGTATGAGAACCTGATGAGTTGGTTTGACAAGCTTCTTGCTGGCAGAGACGAAGTTTTTGGCACCCAACAAAATCCAAATGCCAAGCACTTCCAATCCCTGGTGAAATCCAGGATTTATGCAACAAAGACGTCACCACTGACAAGTCAACATGTTGACATCCCAGTGACCTCAGCCAGCACTGTCAGCCAGGACCGCCAGATGCCCAGCACAACTGAGGCTTGCGATGCTCGGGACCCTCTCTCGGTGGGAACCGAAGCAACCAAGGCAAAAGAGCCAAATTTGCCTTCCACTGCAACTGACAGCGGTGACCATCCGGAGGATCCCCAAGATGGATCGCCAACTGAAGTCTCAGACCCCACTGTGAACATGCCGAAATGGGTTGCACCACCAAATGGAGGGGTTTTCGGCTTTGAAAATCAACATCCCCCGAAAAGAAGGAGAGTTGGGAATATTCCAGTTGCCACTGATGTCCACCCAGGAAATCATGCAGTGCCATTTTGCGATGCAGCTCAAACCATGCCCATTCGACCTGAACCAACTCAGATGTCCGACAGTGCCATTTTGCAGCCAGAATGCCACGAAAGCGCCCCAACAAAGGAGGACAGTGTGAACATTTGTCCTTCGGCGACCGCCACCCCAAAGGTTGACCCGCCCACCCCTTTTCAGGCCATGCCTCTTCCACGTTTAGGGTGTGGAGGCCCCTCCCATGGTGACATGACTGAGATCATTGGTGGCAGTCTGCAAGCACCTGAAGTGATTGGCCAAACAACACCCAGTGCATGCCCAGACCAAGTTCCTTTACCGAATTTTGCATTCGATGTGGGCTCTTTGGCCTTGACAGCTGAGCCTTCAGTTTTCAGACCGCATGACAAGAGCCCTCCTGAACAGACCTTGCCATTGCCTCGCCTGTACAGGAATCACCCGGGTAGGAACCAACATCCGAGCATTGGTGTACATAGATCTTGCAATCTCACCACTAGACCATCTTTGACCGAACTGCTTGCCTTGCATGACAAGATTGATCATGACCACACGCCATGCCAGCCAGATTTGCCTTGCCAGACAGGAGAACCTTCGCCTGGGCATGGAATGGAAGTACCTGACCCAGAAGGACCATCCATCTATGAGACGAGAGCCCTGCAAGCCGTGGAGCCAGATGTTGCCAATGCCAAGCCCAGTTGCAGCAGTGTGATTGAACATGATGACCCTCCCACCCTCTTTCAGGCCATGCCTCCACCACGCTTAGGGTGCGGAGGCCCCCCCCATGATGTTCCCGCAGAGAGACAGGCAGAGCTCATGACAATTCATGCTGTTGACAAATCCTTGACAGAACATGTTGCCTTGCATGACATGAATAATCCTGATCGCACACCATGCCAACAAGACCTGCATTGCCAGTCAGTGGATCTCTTGCCTAGCCATGGAATGGAAGTATCCGACCCAGATCGAACGCACACCCGTGTGGCTAGAACTCTCCAAGCCGCAATGCCTGATGTTGCAAATGTCAAGTCCTGTTGCAGCAGTGTAGCAGAGCATGATGACCCACCCACCCTCTTTCAGGCCAAGCCTCCACCACGCTTAGGGTGCGGAGGCCCCTCCCATGATGCCCCCACAGATGGAGAAGCAGATTCCGCAACAGATCACGCTGTTGCCCATGGAATGCCTGAGTACATGAACGTTTTTGTCAAGCATGAGCATTCGATACATCCGATCCCATGCACAGTCCCGGTAGATTGCACGGCAGGTACTCTGACCAAAGCTGAAGCTGCCTTGAAATCAATGACGATGCCCATTGCACCAAGATCTCTGGTAGGTACTCATCTACCTTTGGACAGCAAGCTGCATCCGGATCAATACGTGATGATATACCAGAATTTTCCCAAGAGCAACAAGTGCCCATTCTTTTCATCAAGATTTGTGCAACCGATGCAACCGGTTTCAAAAGTCTTGCCTTGCACGAGACTTGAAGCTCTCTGGCATCAAGAAGCCTGGGTTGCCAATGATGAAATGAATTACTATCTAGAAGCCACCATGGTCCACGACAAGGCCTTCCCTTTTCCAGCAGCCGTTTTCATGAGTGAGGCAGACGCTGAAGAGACTGCATCAGAATGGCTGGACCTGGCCATCAATGCACTTGATGATTCCAAGCCTTGGTGTTCAGCAGCCATCATTGCTTGCCATTGGGTTCCTGTTGTCATCACACATCTCCCTCAAGTGATCGAGTTCAGTACCACCCCGGAAGGGTCCTGCTTGATTCAACTTGCATCTAACCTAGTTCATGCAAGAGGGAAAACTATTGAAGTCAAACAAACTTTGCTTCCTCAAGCTTTCCCAGCGGATTGCGGTTTTCAAACATTGGCCTGGTTGGTTGCAAGACTTCATGATGAGCAAGCCGAAGCCATCTCACCAACCAAGGCAGCCCTGTGGAGACAGTTGTTCATCCGCCAGCTTTGCCAACAAGACCTGGAGCACCAAATCATCCATCATCTCCCTTTGGGAGGCACCAAGCTTGACGCTGCTGACATGAGTAAGTTCATTGGACTCCTCACTCAACATGGAGTTATGCCTGAACGAGCTAATGAGAGAGCCAACATGATCCTTGCCCAAATCCCTGCCAACAACATCAAGAACATCCTGGCGTCGCACAGACCTTGGCCAGACCTGAAAGCGGCAGCCAACAGTGTCAGGCCACAGATCAAGCTGATTTTGCCTGATGAATTGAACCAGCAGATTGCCCACAGAGCAGAACAGCGGAAGTATGGCAAAAAGACATCCGCACAGAGACGTCATGAACCAGCCAAAATCGCAGTCACAGTGCAAGCGTCAGAACTTCTGGTGCCACAAGGAGTCTTCAAGCAGCATGATGGAACAGTGCTTGGACCCATCCAGATCGGTGACGTTGGGCCAGCTGCCAAAGGAGTCCTACTTCTTGACCAAGCAGACTGTGAATCAACTCTTCGCTTACCCAAGCCAGTGACTCAGAATGGACTTGCAGTGATTGTACTCGCCACCAAAGACAATGAGGATATGCACCAAATCCAGCCCACCAGATTTCCTGCAATGTGCATTTCGACACAGGAACCGCTCATTGCCTCAGGGTACATGTACCAATTGGGTAATCAAGAAGTCATCCGACATGGGCCAAATACCAAGCTTGCCATTGAAGAACAACCGACAGAAGCCATGAGATGCCTAGTCTTCAAAGACCAAGCAGGGGACTTTTGGGATCAGTTGCAAACACAACCAGTGAAGCAGATCTTCCAAACCGAGCCATTGCTTGCCACGACGCCAGGCTCAGCCTCCGTTGTCATTGATGTCTGGGATCGACAATGGGTTTCTAAAAAGTTTGAAAAGGTCCGACCAGTCAATGCCGAAGTTTTCATGTTCTCATTGAGAATGCTGGCAGACAAGGCCGATGAACTTCTTGGCAAAAGTGGACAAGCAGGAGTGTATTGGGAACCACGCTCCCCTTGCGGGCGCTATCCCAATTCAACATACCATGTGACCTGGCTTTCGCAGATGTCCTACCAGGACGCCAAATACGCACAACAAACATCCCCGCAAGTCGCCACTTTGGCCAGACATGGGGACAGATATGGACTTCGCAGTGACACCATGAATGCTCAGGCCATCCATGATAAACACCGTCCTGACACTCCATTGCTGATGGGCCAATCCAAGATGCTCTATGCTATAGGTCCTTTGCCGTATTCGACCACCAAAGCAGCACTCCATAAGCTATTGAAAGCTTGGGAATGGGACGCACGTCCATTGCAACCGAAAGGCCGTGCACAGGATGGAAGTGGAATCACATGGCACATCCAAGCTGTCGAAGATCCAGGCCATTGGGTTTACACGCTGCAACATGGAGATGTTTTGGTCACCAAGATCCATGACATGAAAGCTCCGGCCTCAGTAAAGCCATTCTCCATTGTTGCCTCCAAAAAGACCTTGGATCACCTGCAAGGATCCGACCCATGGATTCACTATGACCCGTGGCGCAAAGACGGAGCTGCGCAATCGAATGCACCAGCCAAATCAGTTGCAGCCAAGCCACAGAGCGTTCCAGTCACGCATGCACAGCTTGCTGCCATGGAAGCCAGCCTTGACAAAAAGATCCAACAAATTGCCAAGCCACCTGAAGGAGATTCCCCAATGGAAACAGCCAGTTTTGAAGCCAGAATCACCCAGTTGGAGCATCAATTCCAGCAAGTCCACGCCATGCAAGTGGGCACCGACAATCGTGTTGGCCAGCTGCAACACCAGCTGGAACAACAGAGCCAAGTGCTGGGAGATCGCATCGACGAAAAGCTCAACAGCCACATGGAACGTATCGAAATGCTTCTCTACAAGAGAAGCAGACATGAGTGACTAGGGCCAGTCAGTAATTATGCCTTGGGCCAACCGCACAGTGGACGCCTTTTGGCGCCAAAGCCCAAGCCATCTGCATGTTTTCGCAAACCGGCCACGCACTTTGCATGCCGGTTCAAAACGTTGTGTATGTTGATCATTTATTTTGCCACATCTTTTCGGCTAGGGGAGGCCACCACTCCAGGACCAGTTCTTGGTAACTTGAATCCAACCGGCCTTATGGGGAAAGCATCCGAGATAGCATCACTCCCCCATGGAGTGTACACTTTCCAGGAATCTCATCTAACCAGCCAAGGTATCCGGAAATTCAAGCAGGAGCTGCAATGGAGCAAATCAGGGTATCAACTCAGCCACGGCCACCCAGCCCCACCAAAGAATGATTCCTTGCGTACGATTGGAGGTAAACACACAGGCACAGGCGTCCTTAGCGCCTACCCTTGCCGACCATTGGACCATCATTGGTCCCCTGAGCAATATCAGACAGGACGCTGTCATGTTGCAGCTGCCTATGTCCAGACCAGATGGATCACTTGCGGTACCGTCTATGGGTACAGTGAACGCTCACATTGCCTTGATGTTCAACAAAGCACGGGCCTCTTGCTCGATGGCCTGACAAGTAAGGTAGTCGAGGGCTCACATGGCCTCAGAATCATCACAGGAGACTGGAACCAAGAACGACAAAATTTGCACCAAGCAGACTTTTGGGAAGCAAAGGGATGGATGGAAGCACAGCAGTTTGCGATGCAAAGATGGTCTGTTCCACCAATTGCCACTTGCCGTAGAACCACCATCAAAGACTATGTGTTTTTATCGCCTGAGATCCAGCCGTATGTGTGTGATGTCCAGTTGGATTGGTCGAGGTTCTCTGACCATGCAGTTATCCAAGTTCACCTGACAGACTTGGGCCGACCTGCACTTGTCCCAATGTGGAGAAAGCCAACTGCCATCGACTGGCCAACCAAACCGCAGCATGTAGTCCATTGGCCACACCAAGCTGAATACAGTGAGAACACTGATGAGTGGTATCGCAACATATGGCACAATGTTGAAAGATATGCCTCGGCACTTTGCCAGGCCAATGACAGACCGCAGCTTGCCTTATGCCAGACAGGCAGGGCTTCCACCACTGAAGTCAAATGGACGCAAGAACAAATTGCGCCAATCCGAAACAACCGAAAAGGCGACATCCAGTCAGCCATCACCTCAGGTTCCATGCAATATAGCCGATGGACACGCCAAATCCGTCGACTCCAGCACTACACTAGATGCGCTGACTCAGCCAGCACACCAACTGTGGATTTGCATAGGGCCAGCCTATGGGGTAAAATCATCCAGGCACCAGGATTTCAGGGAGGTTTTCGGATGTGGTGGGCTCAGCTACCAAAAACCCTCTTTGACACCCCTGCCATGTTGCCATCAATGCCACCCCCAAAATTGGTTGCCAATGCCATCTTTTTGGAGTTTTGCAAAGTTTATAAAGCCCTCGAAAATAGCCTTGTAAACGCAAAAGCCATTCACGCATGCCAACGCAGGATCAAAGATCCACTCCAAATCTACAGAGACCTGCAGCGTGAACGTGCTGAACCTGTACAGACTATTGTGGTTGAAGAAACCTTGCAAGTTACCAACACCAATGCAAATGATGATTCCACTGTCACCATCACGCTTGACCATGATTTGCCCATGGGTTTGCACAGTATCCCCATACAGGGAGTTGAAACACAGGTTCAAGTATGCGACACCAACCAACTGCGAGTTCCAGCACCAGTTGCAGAAAGCATCGCAGACCAGGTTGTTGTGCGCAAGGTTGAAGCAGAAATTCCTGCTGTTCTACAAGCTTTTGAGCGTGAATGGGCCCCAAGATGGCAAAAGCATGATAACATCAACTCGGATCACTGGGATGCCATTGTAGGTTTCATGCAACATGCACTGCCAGAAAGACATGCCAGTTTCCCGCCCATCACAGCCAAAATGTTGACCAAAGCAGTTGCCTCCAAACGCAAATTTGCGGCAGTAGGACCGGACGGTATTTCAAAGAGAGACATGTTGAACATGCCACCGTGTTCTGTAGAAGACTTGGTCCTCTTGATCCAATCACTGGAAAATGGTGCACCTTGGCCTTCGCAAGCAGTCACAGGGTTAGTCTCGGCACTTGCCAAAGTCCCTTCAGCACAGAAGGTCCAACAGTACCGCCCAATTTGCATATTTGGAATGTTTTACCGTGCCTGGGGTTCAATCAGAGCTAGGCAGTGCCTTCAGTACCTTGCCACTTTGGTGCCCGCCACAGTAATGGGTAACATACCAGGTAGAAGCCCCCAAAAAATCTGGTTTCATGTCCAGCAGCTGATTGAGCACTCCTATTGTCAAGTAGGTGAAGTTGCCGGCAGTGTCATTGACATTGTGAAGTGCTTCAACGCACTTCCACGGAGCCCTCTCTTGAAAATAGCTCGGCTTTTAGGCATTCCAACTTGTGTTCTTGTCCCATGGGAAAATGCTATGAAAGGGATGCGCCGGCGGTTCCAGGTTAGATCATGTGTGGGCCAAGCCATTGACAGCTCCACAGGTTTTCCTGAAGGCTGTGCGTTGAGCGTTGTGAGTATGGCCATTTGCAACATCACCATGGAACTTTGGATGTTTTTCCGTTTTCCTTCAGTTCGACTTTGGTCGTTTGTTGACAATATTGAGTGCACCACTGAAAGCGCTGAAACAGCCATCAATGCCCTGCAAGGACTTATTGAATTCTGCGATCTCATGGACCTAAGCATCGACCAGAGTAAGACCTACCTTTGGTCTACCTCGCCCACAGGTCGAAAAATGATCCTAGACAGCCAGAATAACCGAAAGTTTTTTGCCAGGGATCTAGGTGGTCACATGAACTACTCCAAAAAGAGAACCAATGTCACTGTGCAAGACAAGATCCGGGAGTTTTCTCCCTTTTGGACCAGACTGGCTAGATCTTGCGCCCCGGTGTCACAAAAAGAAAGGGCCCTCAAAGTGTCGGCCTGGCCCAATATCTTTTATGGTGTAAGTACCATTACCCTGGGTGCAAATCACTACCAGAGACTCAGATCACAGTGCACACGAGCGCTGAACACCAATCAAACGGGAGCAAACCCGGACCTTCAGCTTGCTTGCATCAGTCCACCTATGACAGACCCTGAAATGTATGGTGTTGTCAATACCATCATGGCCATGCGTAACCACGGTGACCCAGACTTGACCCAATTTACCCTGCAGTTTTTGACGGCGGGCAATACTAGCTCACAGGGGCCTTGCCAAAGTTTCTTGACAGCCATTCACAAACTTGCGTGGAGTTGGGAAAATGGTGATCGTTGCATCGATCAAGATGGTTTGCCAGTTGACATTTTTCGCTGCACAAAACCAGAGCTCAGACAAAGAATTGTGCTCAGCTGGCAACAAAGAGTCCTTGAAACGACAGAAGCAATGAGATCAACCATGAAAGGACTTTCACAAACAGATGTACGATTGACCGCGAAATCCATGAAAACTCTCCCAGATGAACACAAAGGTTTGCTCAGGTGTGCCTTGAATGGCACTCAATACACAAATGATGCTCTTTGTCATGCGGGAGTTGTTGACACCTCCCAGTGCCGTTTCTGCCAATCACGTGACAGTATATACCACAGGACATGGGAATGTCCCTACTTCCAAGACTTGCGTGACCAAATGCCACAACTGCCCAAACCAGAGGAGCACACACTTGCAACAGCGTGCCACGGGTGGTTACCAAGATCACCTGACTTGACTAGCCTGCGTGAGTTGTTTCTTCAATTTCCCGACACGACTAGTGTTTTTGCCCAGCCACAGCTTGCCCCTGAGTTGCAGTTCACTGACCTGTTTTTAGACGGTAGTTGTGCTTACCCGACAGAGCCTGACCTTCGCATGGCCAGCTGGGCATACGTTGTATGGGATGGGAATGAATTTCAACTGGTAGCCAATGGTATGGTGCAGGGATGGAGACAGACAAGCCTCCGTGCTGAAATCACTTCTGCAATCTCGGCACTTAAATTCTGCGTTGACCAACCGCTGCCTTGCCGCCTTTGGTTTGATAATGAAAGTGTTCAAACTATGTTGTCGCAGTGGATACAGGGTTTTGAACCACCTTATCAACATAAACAAGACGCTGACTTGTGGCACATGTTGCATGTGCAATTCCAACACGCCAGACCTTTTGTTGTTGCTTCCCATAAGGTTCAAGCTCACACCAAACATGCCTTGCAGGAGACAGTTCTTGATGAATGGGCTGTCAAAGGTAATGCCATGGCGGACATGTTTGCAGAAGAAGCTCGCCAACATTTGACCCCTGCCTTCTGGCAGACTTGGAAAGCAGTACAACAACATCAATCAAACACTTGGAGTTTTGGCAAGGCGTTACACAAGTTGCTGGTCCAGATTGGTATACGAGCACAAGCAAGCACAATTGTGACAGGTGTGCCAGGACCACAGGTGCAGGAACAATCCGAAGTTTTGAACATTGACCCAGGTATTCTTGCACTTTCCCTGCGACAGGTTGGAGATTTCCCTAAGCACTTGCAAGTTGAAGAAACTCCACATATTCTGAGATGGTTACAAAGCCTTGTTGACCCCCAACAGAGTATTTCCTGGGTTTCTTATCATCAACTGCTTGTTGACTATCAATTTTTCTCCCAACGACAAGGACCTTTCACCAATGGCAGAAGATGGACAGACAGAAGAGTTGACCATGTGTACAACTATCCTCAACAAGTTCAATGGTTTGGACGCTACATCCAAAACATGGCCAAAGCCAACAAGGAGCCACTCCATACTGACCAAAGACGGCCTTCGAGTTCGACACTGGCTTTCTGGTGTGGGTGCCTACGTGTTGCCATACCCAATCAAAGACTTTCCTCCATCGATGACTTCTATAAGAAAGGGGCAAAACATTTGCCAATACGGCAGATAGTTCGTGACATGGCGGACTTACCTGTGGCGAGTTGATTTTAGTTACGTTTCTTTGGGACGAGCAGCTGTCTCCGCCCATCTGAGCAGTTGCTTCCGCTGAAAGGGTGAAAGGGTGAGGGTTTTGACCCATAATTAAACATATTAACTTATATGGCTGATAAAGTCTTGCCAGGAAACCGCGACAGCATGTATAGCAGCCCCCATTAATCACTGGCGATTATACTATCACTCTATGTGGGTTTCCATCAATGGGGGATCCCCATGATTGGTTTGAAAGTTCAAAATGGATGATTTAGAGGTACCCCCAATTTTAGGAAAGCTCCATAGGTGTTCTCACTATCAACTGCTATATATCATACCCTCTGGTAAACTAACATGGCTATTGAAAATTGCCACTTTTAGTGAGTTTTCCCATTAAAATTGGTGATTCTCCATGGTTGTGTTAGTTTGCCGGAGGGTAGTTATCCAGTGTGTGCCACCTTCATAGCCCAGGTCGGTCAGTTGAAAGACACCTTGGGATCTCGTCACGAAGTGAGGCCAAAAACGCTGGGAAAAGGGGCGTTGGAAGACCCTTGAAAAAGATATGGTTTTTCACAGTGGTTTACTCCGAGCTTACGTTGGTCTATTGACTTTTCAAATCACTTTGGTAGTCTAACAACACAACAACACATAAATATATTTGTTTTTGATGAAACAACGCAAGTATATAAAATAACTAAAATCCCCGTTGGTTCTCAAATGTTCTCTGCAAAAACGATTTTCACCATGGTTTTCAACACTCATGGTGAGCTCCATTGGTGATTGGAATGATCGGTGAAAATCTTACCCGGAAACTATGGTTTTCACATACAGACATGGGGGTGAGTCCTATAAGTGTTCCTTGAAATCCAATGATTGCGGAAACCAGGCTGAACATGAAGCCTCTTGCAATTGAGCGTAGCTATGGAAAATGGTCCCTTTGTCGATGATTTAGAGGAAACATGGTGGATCTCCATAGCAAGCTGCTGGTTTACTGGAGGGTAGAAATTTAGATGGCCCCCACTATCGCCATGGGCAGTCACAAGCTCAGGAAGATATCTGATAGCCATCTTTTTTCGGCCATCAAAGCCTGACACTATGGATATGGAAGAAAATCTGTTGCTTGGATATGCTTTTTATGGCTTCAAATTTGTTACCCTCTGGCAAACTAACATAGCTATGGAACATCACCATTTTCAATGGGAAAATCCACTATAAATCACCATTTTCAATAGCTATGGTTGGTTTACCGGAGGGTATATTCCACCCTAGAAATGTGATGACCCAACTTGACTTTCGCATAGGTGGCTCAACCAATTAGATCCAGTCGTCATTGGTATCGCTTCGACATCAATATCCAAGGTTTGCCAGTCGCAGCTGTGAAGTTGGAAACTGCACACATGGAGGCTTAATTGTAGATCTAAGTAGAGTGTTCTCTTCCTGCTAGGGAAATTAGGGGGGTCCTGATGTTTTGCTAGACCTGAAGCATATACAAAGTTGTGCCCCCTAGTCGGCTAAAAGTTGGTGTATAATGCCCTCCGTTAAGAGTTAAATCACCATAGCCCTAATCAACGCAGTTGTGAATTAACTTTGCTAACTATAGGGGAACACCTTGTATCGGTATGGATCAAAACGGTCAAAACTCTAGATACAGTACGAATCAGGGATAAAACTACCAGCTAGTTTGATATTTACCATCGGTTGGTCCGATAATGGGGGGTGTCAGATTGTCCACATCAATGTGAATTTACCGTAGTGTAACTGGAAACATGATGAGGATGATGATGACCATGATGATGACCATGACGATGACCAGGATGATGATGATGAGGAGGAGGAGGAGGATGAGGATGATGATGAGGATGCGGACGATGATGATGAGGAGGAGGATGATGATGACGATGACCATGATGATGACCATGATGATGACATGATGATGACCATGATGATGACCATGATGATGATGATGATGATGATGATGAGGAGGAGGAGGAGGATGAGGATGAGGATGGGGATGAGGATGAGGATGCGGGCGATGATGATGATGATGATGATGATGATGACGATGATGATGACCATGACGATGAGGAGGAGGAGGATGATGAGGGTGATGAGGATGATGAGGATGATGAGGATGATGGTGATGATGATGATGATGATGATGATGAGGATGATGAGGATGATGATGATGATGATGATGACCATGATGATGGTGATGGTGATGGTGATGATGATGATGATGATGATGATGATGATGATGATGATGATGATGATGATGATGATGCGGATGAGGATGAGGATGAGGATGAGGATGAGGATGCGGACGATGATGTTGAGCAGGATGAGGAGGAGGAGGAGGAGGTGGATTTTGAGGAGGATGATGATGATGAGGAGGAGGATGGTGATGATGAGGAGGATGATGATGATGATGATGATGATGACGATGACGACAACAATAAACAATGGATTTTCTTGGAAAACTTGTGTGGGCAAACCCATAATCTGGCCTGATCATTACAACTTCATAAAGGAGCTGAATATCACGGCAGCTCTACGGCATCTCCAGTGGCCTTTGCGGAGGTTTTGCCCTCCGAGGGGGACGGCAGCGGTTACGGTACTACTCATCACTTCCCAGAGCTTGTGGAGAACAAACATGGCTGGGTCACGAAGATGGTGCTGCTTGCGAAAATCGCAATTTCACCGCAGCTTTTGGCGATCGAGGCGCATCTCGCGCCCTTAAGGGTCGAGCAAAAACAGCCCCAAACGAAACCCGGGTTTGTTATTGGAACAGGAGTCCTGCTCTTTGCTGCTGTGGCACGGCGCTTTGATATTGTGACGCGGCAACATGTGGCCCAATGTGTCCAAGCAGGGAAACCAAAACGACTTTAGTAGAAGTCTCGTCTCAGTGAAAGAAATTGCAGATGACGGTATTTAATGTGAACGGGGGACACGCTTGTCTTCATTCAGCTAGATACATGTGGCGTAAGGGAACATGTTCCAAGGTATGGATATGAAGAAAAACATGACCCGTGTTCAAAACCCTGTTGGTTGATGACTACCGGAAATTATATAGGGGATTGTACTACCCATTGCTTATATTGTCACAATACGCTCTGGGAAAGCTAATTTAGATCATGCCTAATACCACACAAAGCACGAAATCAACAAATTGACAAATTGAGACGAATAAGCATGATATATTACGATATGGAAGTTTCCTGAAATAGGGGTACCCCCAAATCATCCAGTTTAGTAGGATTTTCGATTGTAAATCATCCATTTGGGGTACCCCTATTTTAGGAAACCTCCATATCAATTGCCCTGGGAATTTAACAGTTTGCTATTGAAAATGACCATTTATATATATATAGTTGATTTACCCATTAAACATGGTGATTTTCCATAGCTAAGTGTTAATTTGCTAGAGGGAAACTCATCAAGTTGTATAAGCCTATGGGTCCAAGTACCTTCTTAGGAAGTGTTTGGGGTATAATTTACTATGATTTGGAGGCTTTTTGGTACCTTCTCAGACAGTGGCCATGGATCCATAGGGTAATCCAGTCATGACTCGGCCAGGCTGTTGCTGCCGAGTGAAGCGACCGAGCTACGAGACGAACAGCACTTGTCCTCCCTGCTGGTCGAGGCCTGGGCTCAAATGCGCTGGGCCGCTGGGAGGATGATGTTTTGGCTGGATTTTTACACTTTGATGGAGGATTTCTTGCTATCCGGCTAGATTTCTGGTTGGTGGTGACTGGAACATTTTGATTATTTTTCCATATTTTGGGAACAATAATCCCATTTGAGTAATATTTTTCAGAGGGTTGAAACCACCAACCAGATTTGTTTCATACAAGATGTGTTGGCGTCAGAAATTTGCAAGTCAACTCCAACATCGAACACCCAAGAAGCAGTTCTGGAAGATTATTTTCCAAGGGGAAAAGGACATGTTTGTGTTCCATGTTGGAACGTAGCGGCTCTATCACTGTTTCATTTGACAAACATGGATGTATGCAAATGAGAATGGGTCACCAACTGGAAATAGATCATAATAGATCTACCAACTCCCAACAAAGATGTTCGGGACATAATCATAATCAACCAATCATGTTTTCGTAGCTAATCAATTGAGGACGGCCCCAACTGTGGTTTGCAAGGGAAGCATATAGTCATAGAACCAAAACAATTGTTCCGTTAGAGTTAAATTCAATCAAGTGAGGTTTAAAAAAAACCAAGAAAAATTCGGGAGATATGCCACTAGCATTGGTAAAAAAACAGTTATTGAAATGGGGGATATCCAAAATGGTATTTCAAAGGCAGACGTGGAGTAGCTGACTGATTTGGTTTTCAACAGCAGGAAACCTCTTTTTTTTGGTGCATTTTGGCCATGGTCTTTGTGGGTGTTCAGTTCACCTTCGATCAGACCTGTGAATCTGTGTTTCTTGCTGATTGTATAGCCCATGAAATATCCCAAATACACCGGCATTTCGGGACAATCCTCATACTGCTGCAGGCTGCAATTACTTTAAATTGATATAAAAACTGCAATTCGGTTATATCCCATGAAATATCCTCATTTGTGATGGTTAAATCCCCCATGTTTGTTTGGCTTAATCTCTTATTTCTGGACACACCCAGATTTTGCGGATTATCGAAACTTATTTTTTAAAAATGTTTGTTGATGGTAAAATCATGTTTTTTCATTGGTAACCCCCCATTACATTGGCATCCTCCCCCTCATTGCCAGTATTAATTTCACTTACAGTAAATCATGATTTTCGCTGGTCAAACCATAATCTAAAACCTCTATATTTAGTTGGTTAAAGTACTTTGCTCACAGTTTTGGTTAAACACATCCGTCATGAATTATATTGGTGTCATCATTTTCCCCATCAAAAAAAACAGGTGTTTTGAGTTTTTTTTCTGGTGAAAATCCCAAATTCCTGGTAGAAGCGCCATTTTCTCCGAAAAAATCTGGCCTCCTCT